AACTTCCTCTGAACAACAGCAATTCGTCACCACTCGCGACCTGGAAAATATGTACACATCTACCCGGGGCTCGTAAAGCAATTGCAGGGTGACACCTCACAGTGCAAGCCCCAACAAAAGGATTACTTATCCTTATCTGTCACCTGAACGCGGTTGACACGGCAACCTCAAACCTCAAGCAAACAAATGGCTAAACTTTGACATGGAAGACACCCCTGCCCCCCCACTTTATGATGCGCTAGCTTCCCGAGCACGGAGCCTCGTTGCAGCGAGACTTGCGCACGTGCTCAATGCGCCTGCAGACACTCATGAGGCACGCATGTCCTTCTGGGCCTGGGTAAGATGAACATGCGATGTCGCCAATTACTCCCTGAAAAATTTGGGTTTTAGCTTTCGACTGAGGAGACGAAGCATCGTCACTCACATCGTCACTCACATCCGTGGAGGCAAGAATGTGCCTGTCTTATCCGACTTATCCTCTGAAAAAACGTGAAATTCCAAGCCATCACATGCTCCCGAGTCCAAAGCAGTGCTTTGTCTGAGGACTTCGCACATGGATACGCTTTCGCAGCTGGCGGTTTCCCACAATCTTGGTGATCTCTACGCCTCAGCCCGTGCTGAAGAGGCTCGCCTAAACTAATCTTGTTCGAGCTCGTGACGCAGCACTTGCTGCTTTCCGCACTGACCCTGAAAGGAACTGACCCAAAGCGTTGAGGTTGACGTTGAACACGATGCCGGTGCGTCCATGATAGAGGGAATAGGGCAAGCCTTTGTCGTGGAGCAGCTGCCAGGAAAATCGTTTCGAAAGCGTGCCTGGCCTTTCTGGATGGAGGGATCTGCCACGATATCGACGTAGTCTCCACGCTTGAAGTTCACAAGGTAGCGGGCGATGCCGGGTCTACGGGTTGCTGTGCCGGTCTTAACACGTGTCTGGCATGCATGTGAAGTTTTCTCTGAGCAGCAAATCAAAGGTAATTGATGGCCTGCCCTTCGTGCGGTACTTCTTGGAATACCTTGGTCAGTCACAAGGAGCGAGCGCATGCCTTTCTCCAGGTTTGAAAAACACTGCTATTGCAGTGCTTCCAACAAATTATGTTGCACTGCACTATAGGGTCACGTAGGGCCTCAAGCGGGTAAACACGGGTGCTGTGACTCCGGGCGGGACTCGCCGATATGTGTTTTAGGTTTTGGAGCTGCCAATGCGCGTAAACAAGTTCAAGAATCAGACTTGAAATTCAAAATTCATACGCACGAAGCTAGAAAACACACAAAATCGAAAGAACAGCACACAGAAACACAATGCCGAAACAACCAGCAAAAACAATGCACAATAACGAAGCAGCAACAACACGACGCTTTGATCAGGCGGGCCAGACCAGATTGGCCAGCAGTGTAATGTACTATTCTATAGCATATTATATGTATTATATTATATACTATACCATATGTATATATATATATATATAGATTTCTTTGCATTTTTCTTCGATCATTTACAAGCAAGCGGGTTTTGGGATCGACCCTATTACTATAGCATATTCTAGTGATAACATTGGGGCAGTAGTTGGCTATATATGGATAAGATATTGGGATAATGGAGAATCAAATGGAAAAGGAAACGGAACATGACATGGAAACTGGGGTTATATGGGGTGTACATTGGGCTTATATAGGGGGTTATATACCTGCTGTTGCAGCATTTGTGCTGTCCGAAGGCCTATGCAGACATCTAAAACTGCTCGTGTTCTGCCAAATCATTTGAGCGGTGGTTTTATTCTTGTGTAATTTCATTACAGAAACTACCCCT